TTTACGTCCCAGGCCACACGAATATATAAGCCCACGATTTAGACTCCACTAGATAGTGATAACTATAAATATGAGTCGTAGATATTAAAACGAAGATGGTGTGGCCTTCCGTTTGGTCGCAGTCTCCTTTAGCTGTATAGTGTTGGTTCGACCTCGTTTTCGGAACTTGGTCGGAGCGTCAGGGGGACTGTGTCGATCGTACCTAGTCCTGTGTCCATTGCCATTGTATTTGTGATTTCTAGCATCGGACCACTGACTCGATACATACCCAAACATTTCGCTGGCATCGTCAGTGAGAGGTGTCATCAACAGCACAGGGTTACAACCTATTAGTGACAAGTGAAGGCAATCCCATTGACCATATATATATATGAGTAATTAAAGAATAAAAATGGCCTTTTATTCCTTAAACAAGTAAGGAGCTAAAATATAAATACAAATATTAAAAAGGTTGATAATATTGATAAATCCATATAAATAAAAAGCAAACACGATGACACTGAGGATACATGACATGACGTGGTTTTAAGGCGTTAATAAAACTGAAAAAATAGGATAAATCACGAATCAATCATTGCTTACCGAGCTTGAGTAGCTTCAGGTAAGGATTTATATATCTCATTTATCGTCCAAGCCTTGGCCACTTTCCATCCATTCATAATGAAACTAAAATGATGAATAAAATTGCAATCCATGTAGGCATATAGCATATAGACACCACAATTAGTGCAAAATTGAATCCCTATAAAAGACTAAGGCGTCAGACTTTGAAAAGATGTCCTTTACTAGTTATAAATTTAGCATAATAAAAATGAAATTATGGCCATGAAATACTCATAAATATTGCGAACTCTGTTTACATAAACAAATAAATAGTCAATCTAAGTATCACCAGCTAGCGCAAGAGTAAGGCAAGAATATCGATAAAAAAGCTAAATGGTAAGAATAGCGTTTTGAGATCGGTCGAAGGATGGCAGACAAATTAAACACGATGAAACGATGGAATATAAATTCATGATTGAGTTGCATTTAGGTTGTATTACAGTCTCCTTTAGCTATATGGTCGGTTTAATCTTGTAAAGATGAGATTAAATTTTAAGTGCTTTCATCTAATTCGCTGCAAAAAACGCAATTTATTTTATTTGGCATGCATATAGCAATTGAAAATTACACATAGAATATTGGCAAAACCCAGATGAGATTATGAATAATGAGTAAAGAATTACTAGGAGAAACTTCACGCAAAAATTAGTTGTAAATACGAAGCAAGTAACTAAAGTATAAATACTCCATATCATCGGGCAGAAAACATTGTACATGCCTGAAAGGTGACAATGAATGATACGAATTTTTAAGTTAATAATAAAGGAATTAATACAGCCAAATACTGTAACTTTTAGCCAATCCATTGACAAAAAATAATCTGTAACACATAACTAATAATAAATGTAAATTTTAGTAAAATCAAAGCAGGAGAAATGATAAGGCCCTAAACTGGAAGCAAGATAAATGGAAACGGTGCCTTGTATAACTTCGTTTCTATAAATCAGCCATGATTTCATGGAGGCTTTAAAAAACATATCACGTACTGCGAATTCTACCCTTTGTTAAATGATTACCCAGCATGGAAACGATGATAACCACAAGTGACCCCTTTTTGTCTTTACCTAGCTCTAGATCCCTGATTGTTGTAAAGAGCTCTAAGCATGCGTCTCTTAGTGGGCGACAGTTTCTCATCTCGTCAATATCCCGGAGATGGGACAAATAAGGAAATACATAACATGAATTATTAACCTAATTATATGAACTATTTATTTCACATTTATAAACAGATATTAGGTCTGTCCATAATTTTTCAATCTAGTCATGCGATAAGATGATGGCTTCGCACTCAGACGACATAAAAAAGAAAAGTGGATTAATTAAATAGCCGCATTTACAAAAAGGGAGAGAATATGGGTTTTATTTTCCAGGATATAAAAGTTATTCCCTCCAAAGATACCCTCAAGGGCTATTCATTATGATTACGAATAAGAAAAAGTCGTCGCTTTTATTTCTCAAATTACATAATGAAGGCTGGTGTCAGAAGTCTGATTGCAAGAAGCTCAGAACCAAAATCTAAAAAATTCTAGGATGATTGAACAAATTGTATCGGAATTTTATTGTAAATACCAAAACGGTGATGATCAGGTGGCAAGATAGGGACTATGAAAAAAAATCAGTGAGAAGCTGCGAGAGCTACCAATGAAATGGTACCTTCATACAATGTTTACATATATGCTAGCCTTCTTCGAAAGCTTATCGATGGAAAATAAGGTCAATAAAATGGATTGCTCGAGGTCTATCTCAAAACAAGAGTAGGAACCGAATACCGCACAATCTTGGTATGCAAATTAACAAAAAAAGAATTTGTTGATGCGCGCAACATAATTAACTCTAGCTGATATGCACACAAATCAATTTTTAAACAATTGTAAAATGATACTTAGGATAAAACAATTTATATGAACACACCGTTGTTCTTGAGAGAATAATGATTCACAACAATCTAGACCAGGGAGATTACAGGAACGCGCACGGAAGTTTTCTGCCATTATCAGGCCAAATCGGTCAGACATATTAACCTTTAAATCGGATAAATTTAAATAGTCAAATTCATTAGAACCACTCAAATAATAATAGCAAAATTCAGCAATATTTAAACAAACAGAAAATATATACTTGTTCATAATGAAGGAATGCGGATAACTTGAACGCTGAAGAAAGACATTTGAGAAGATTCATACTTGAATGAGAGGGCATGTAGACAAGTACACATTCCGCTAAGAAAAGGGTTGGTAGATTAAGAGAAAGCTGACACAAATTTCCAGTAAGCAACTCAACAAAATTTGCAGAAGGAAAACGAAGATCAAATTCTACTAATTGAAAGCGTCCTGAGTAAAACGATGCACTCTCAGGATTCGTAGCTTCAGTTGTATTTGATAAAGCATTCACATCAGAATCGGGTTCTTATAATTAATTATTTAAAATAGTTTACCATCAAGAGTCAAAAACTGATTTCGTTTTAGGGCTTCTTTGATCTGAAACTTTTTTTTCCGAATATTATCACGCAGATCAATTTCTAAGTACTTGAGGGGCGAAAGTAGGGAATTGTTTAATTGAAAGAATAGGGTATCAGAACCGGCTCCAAGATTAACTATTTGACAGTTTCGGTTGTAAAACTTTTGCTTAAATGAATTCTTGATAAGGATACCTTCGAGAAATGCAATGCAATTGCTTTAAAGGTTTGTACGCGAACAAAGTATCCTCTGCTGATCTCTGGGGCTCTTGGAGTAGATGATGTGCAAAATATCTTTAAATAAGGATCTTTCCAGTATTCTCTTTTGACGGCATGCGCTTTACCCATAGTTGCCTCATCGTTGGTGCCTTGAATGACACAATCAGATGGCGATTCGCCCATCAGGGAAAAGATATGTCAAAAAGAGCGCTCGAAATAACCCTCATAACTGTTAAAACCTTTGAACTTGCTAAAACAAAATTATATTTAGAATATCACGATGCTTTTATGTATTTAATACTCTATCGTTACTCTTTTACATTTTATTTATGGAATTTCTATAATGAAAATGATTATGCATTTATACAAATAGATTTATATTAATAATACAGATGATTTTTATTTAATAACTACCTCAAAATCACCCTTTCGTTGTTATAAGTATTGCCTTACTCAGTTAATCTGCTCCATTGGCCTTCGCTTTATTTTTAATATCCCTTTATTAATTGATTTATAATTTTATTATCCATGCACCGCAACTCCACAAGAAAACCTTTGCGGGAAATACGTCAGATCATACTCTTAATGCACCTTAGGATATTCTCAAATCAGATTATTATTCAAGCTTAGCAACTATTTACTTAATTAGTTATTTGTGCACATTTGGCTTCTCGATATTCAGATTAAAAGGGTAAAATATAGTTTGGTATTGATACTTGTTTGCGACTTTTTATATGCCTTTTGTTTGTAACAAGGTTTAACGATAAAAAAATAGCACAACAAGAAATAGCTGCAATAAAAAACACAAATATTTATTGCTTTAGATGTATGACTAGTCAAAGTTTAAAGCCAAGAAATCAATCTCTTTGGCTGCATTTACTTACATTTGAATTCCATTTAGAAACATATAGGACAGGATTAACTGAAAGACAATGCACTAATTTTGGCATCTATTCTCTCATGCTACCTACAATTAATGAGGAGATTGCCATCATTATCTCTAAACCAGATTGCATTTGACGAATAGTATTAATACCAGAAAATATTTAAAAAGTTAAATAAATTAATATTCAATAAATATAGCTAAGAAAGTATTGTGCGATCAAAAAATTTCCCACATTATCCAGATGGATGGTATGAGAATAGGAATGAAAATTATGAATCCTAAGAGCGAAGCAGATACCGAAGAAAAGATTATATGTCAATGAATTCACCTAATCAGATCGGTGATAATCCCCTAATTTCAAGCTTATGTGCATATTAATATCATTTTATAAGAAATGCTGAATAAGCCCTTTATAGGGACATTTAGTCTTGCCTCAGACTTAGCAAATTGTTGACGATTAATATAATATAAGAAAGATCCTTAACTTAATGAGACGCACATAAACCTTCTTTTGATATGACCTCAGCCATTTTGAAACCCTTGGTAGCTAAAATATAATAAGATGATACGTAATAAGGCATCTTTATTGACAAAATAACAGAATGATATTGATAAAATATTCCCATTGTATGCAATCCAAAATAAATGATCTCTAATCTGCTAAGGATAAGGCTTAAAGAAAAAATTTATTTATAAATTTTATCTCAGGGTATTCAACTGTAATAGATTTGCATCTCATAAGCGGTCTTTATGCCTTTTATGGTTAAATAAATAAAGCACATGATATATATAAAGCTCAAACTTTCCATAAAATGCACATTTACTAGACAACAATAATAAATATCTGTTTACAGCTTTTTTTACTAATTCTTTGTTAAGCAAACTAACAAAGAGCATTACGAATAACTATATAAGCATTTACAATCACATTGCAAATAAAATTAACAATTGTTTAATTTCATTTTTACAACTTTGGCGTGTTGTAATTTCTTGCTTCGGACCGTGGATCAGTACATTCTAAAACATTTCGCCGTCATCGTAAGTGTACTTTAATATTCTTAGCATCAAATTACAATTACTTAAATGGAAAAGCATAATAGATCATTTGACCAGCTGTTTGGTAAGCAGTTCCGGTATCACTCCTTCTGTTCAGATGCATTCGCCCATCCTATATCCTTTTATCACTCCATCACTATCAATAATATCTTACCAGGGCATTTAATTCGACTAGCAAATATAGTATTGTATGATACCGGAAAGTACTTTTAACCTACACGAACAAACTAGCCACTCACAGATGTTAATGTTATTCAAATACATTGAGATCACTTCCTGCATAGTAGGAGAGTACAAAATCGTAGGCACAAGGAAGGATATTTAGATAAATTATCTTAGTATATGAGTTGTATTCATCTTATTTCGATCAAACTGACGAAAGACTGGTAGTTGGGTTCCTCACTCACATGGGTTTCCCTATTAATTTTTATTGAACCATACATATAGAGTAAAAATAAAAGTTATGAAGTCTATGATAATAAGGAGTCTGTGTCTAGCAGATGCAAACATATGGACCAGGGGATTGGTAGATTGAGGGATATACTATTTCAAAACAATTACCCATTATGATTAGAAGACAATTACATATTAATTGTGGTTAACAAGATTAGTGAAATTTGCTATCAGGTGCGTGATAGACAACTGCAAAATTATACTAGGTTCCTGATTTTTCTTTCCTGTCAGCATACAAAAATGTTGGGGGAGCTACTGAGGAAATGGAACATAAAAACAACATATTAATAAAAATTAACACTTTCTTTAGTAGTTCCTTCTTTAAGAGAATATTCAGACCCTCTTTCTAGATCAGGCTGTTAGGAGGTGTTGTACTCATGTAGTAAGGTATATGTGGGAGAGACCTGCTGACCCATTTATTAGGAACTATGCAAACACAAAACCGCTTGTAAAAGTCTTTGGCCCCAAAAATCTGAGCTTGCTAAACATATGACCAATACAGAACATTCAATAGACTGGTCCAAAACACAACGTTTGGCGAGTCACGAGGACTTTATGTCAAAAGCGTAAGATTAGAGTCTATAAAGATCAATAAAACAGCCAACTTCCTGAATAGGAGGAACGAGTGTAGAAAACTAAGCAGGAACTATTTATGGCTGTTGGATAGACTTAAGTAAAGGGAGAGAGAGGGGGTGCAGGAAGAGCGACTGAGCAATAGAAGAAGGTTGGATTATCCTTGAGCCTTGTTATGACCATCACTATTCCCATGACATGAGCCATACATACACACAATATACAATTACACAGGCCCAAACATGATTTAACATTGAACAATCGGACGTCGTAGTTTTTGTGTAATGAAATACCTAATTGATTTCCAGTTAGGAAAATCAAATTAACTCATTTGAAAGCATGTAAAGTAGGGTTGAATTAGCCAACCAAATCATGGAATGCCTCATTTATATCACGATGTTGGGTGTATAAAAAAACTACTAGGGCTGCAACCGACCACCATTTTTCTTGGTTTAGTATATTCTTGCTCTATTTCTTAATGTATGCTATCTTATTCTGATTATGTCTGTCACAGTACAGACAAAAGCTTTGCAAAGTTTAATCGAAGTCGCAGGACGGTGAGCCAAGCACTTCTTCGCACAATTCATCCGTATTCCCTACGTGGTAGTCATCCTTCAGTTTCCAGTGAGAGCACATCACGAATTCCTTCCAGTTAACTTTCCCTTCTAGATGGTGAGTCATGCCACAATACTTCATTAAGAAATTCTTCGAAACCAAATCTTTCTTCATACCTTAAATAACTTAAGCCCTTATAAGTCTTGTAATTTTCTTCTCATTTCTGTATGTAGGCGTGTTAAAGTATTTTTTAACTGTGCCCGAATGAGCTTCCGCATTAGGTTGCAGAACCCGGGAGTGATACCATAATGTTTGCAACAACTTGAAAAGGTCAAATAGCAGATAAGTCTTACAATTGTCTTTTTTGTTTGGCTGAAGTCGTTGCGTTGTTTGGCGATCTTAATTCAATAGTTTAATCGAAAATATGAAGGCCAAGGCGGTGTATTGTTTATTATGTTTGTTATCTCCTCTTTTTGTTCAGTAGCTGTTGACCTTGTTTTCGTAGCTTTATCATATAGTCAGGAAGATCTAGAGGAACTAAAACTGTGCGGAATCCATTGTATGCATGGAAATTTCCAGCGTCAAACTGTGGGCTTTGTACATTTTTGAACCTTTCATTGGCATCGTCATTGAGCCTTGCTACACTTATCACCACATCAAAAGTCATCTTAGAGACAAATGAAGTCAATATTTTGAACGAGAAGAGATATCATAATTTTTTAGCAGATAAATGATAAAAGGTTTGCTTCCCTTGTCTCTTCGGAAAGCTGTGGTATTGAACGCAGCAAGACAAGGCTCCCTGGCTATACCGGTAAATATGATTGGAAGTATGCTGATGAAACATAAATAGAAATTATCCTATGAATCAAGGAACATCAAAGACTCTGCAGAAACATGGATGGATAAAGCTCTGAAATAAGGAACTTAATACACAGATAAGAAAAGAAATTGACTGTAAATCGACAGAATGTCTGACTGCATATGCTGAAAATACAAAAAAAGGCAAGATTTGAGAAGGTATCGAAATCCTGTCCGGAAGAATCTAAAAGAACAGAAGACTCGAAAGTGGCAGGATCAGCAAAAACATAGCATATTGCCCATGCGTTCTCGGATAGCAAGATCAACATAAAGAATACGAGTAGATCACTAAAAGATTTTACTATGAGGTAGGGAAATCGCAGGAAGGCGGCCACGGGATAAAAATATAAATCTTGAGTAGACATCGACAGTTAGCCTTATCAAAACAAGTAGAGAACCAACATTTGGAGGTTATCATATAAGAGACTAGGGCATAGAAATTCGATGACACAGCATTATGAATAGAAGCACAAGAGATGTGGCGGAGACTAGAGCTGGTTGGTTAACAATATACCTGCTTGATTATATAAGTGGTCCGTGAAGTAAAGGCTTCGCCATGATAATTAGCAGGTGTACATGTCGAACGCGGATAAAAGGATCTATAACCTCAAAGTAGTATCTCA